GATGGGAGTGGCCGGAGATGCTTTATCCGCTGCGTACGAGTTCTCTCACGGCCCCCTCAAATTGTTGAAGGGATCAAGGATGTACGATCCGCCAACGAAATGTTGCTCAGGGACGCCGTGAGCTGATGATTCCCTTGCTCCAACGACAACTCATGAACACCTTACTGAACTCTGAAACTGCCGCGCCACTCTCTGTGCACGACATGAGCGGCATTGCCTGACTAGCCTACTGTAGAATCGCTCGTCCCAGGGAACTTTGTACTTCAGCTAGTTCCTCTTAACTTGGACGCCTTACCTCTCGGCAGACTTGCACGACTCGTCCCGCTTGCAGCGCCTCCTCGTCGCGCTCGTTGCGTCATGAAAGTAATCTGTACTCCTCCCCCTAACCCCAACGGTATACTGCAGTTTAGTCAATCGTTTTACCTCCTGCGTTTTACTGGGACTTATGAGTAAACCCTTTGCAAAAAAGTTCAGAAGAACGTACCGCATTCACACTGCTTGCGCTTCTGATGTACTTCCTGACGACGTCACCCACACCGGCTGCACGTGGTCGTGAGAGAATCACTTCGTGAACGGACGAGATGAAGCAATCGAAGATATGATTACGCGAAGAAACCGTCTGTAAGATTGATTTTTATTCATATTTCAATCAAGGCATTGCGCGCACAGATCGAGTCCATATCTGAGGCAAAAAGGGGCGTGATTGCGGGTGCAGCGATGGGCTCGAGGGTCTAGAGAGGAGAAGGCCAATGGCAATGTATGAGACGGTACCGACTTCCCTGATCCATGACCGCTAAAACAGCTGAACATAATGTGGCACAATTTAGCACGTGTTTTTGAACCAGGCTAGTACAATCTCTTTTCGAGCGCTATTCAAGCGCAACTAAAAATCCCCATGTCCAGGAAGTAATCACGCGGATGGCCAAGCACATCCACCCCCAGAATGAGCTATTGTTGATCAATTAGCATACGGAAGAATGAAGCATCAAGTCACGTCCCTTCAGGAGTTCTCCTAATTCCCCTTCTCAGAAATCCTCCTCATTACGATTGAAGATCGCGTCCGTATAAAACCTGCCCAAAAACCCACAGACCATGAATCATCTCTGAAAATACTGTCCACGCTCACACTATGGGCGGAGTCAAACCTACAAAAACCACTTTATTTGGTGTGTCCCTAATTCCTCATGCGGGATGGGATGAGTTACAGGGCGTAAATTGGCGTTCCCAAGTACCTAGGTGCGCGGGGTGGCTACTGCAGAGGTCTAGACGGATTAGAGGCAGAAGCGTGTATTAACGGGAAAATCGACCCTGAAATCGGCAACTGTTGCACTTACGGTGGCTCCAACTGGGTTTTGGAATCGCCCCCTTTTGCCCTTCGGTATGAACTGTGATTAGTCTAAACAGCACAAAATGCAGTGTGCAGTAAGAGGTTTAATAGTACCTTTGAGCGTGCTTTCCACAGGTTGATCAGCTTCGACCATTCGTCAGCTCGAATTCGCTCGCATGCTCTGGTCAATCGACTACGCTCCTAAAAGGTTTTCGTTTCAATGTTTGCTAAAGCTAGGGTTCACGTTGGCGGTGTGGGCGGAGACAGCATACAATTTCGATCTCCTCTGGTGCGCTTCTCCTCTTTATTACCATCATTTCTTGGAGGCTGAGGACACCAATGAAGAGGACAGAATGTTGGCTGTTCCCGCCCCACGACCAGCATCTACTGCACGACTACTATTACAGTTTCCCCAAATAAACTTACAGTCATTGTCAAATATTTCTTCGGTTTTTGCGACACGTCACTAATTAGCCATGAGTAGTCAGGAATACGCTTCTGTAGACACTCTTGAGATTTTCGGAGTTCCTGCAAGAAATAATCATATTCCAATTTTAAATCGATTAAAAAATCGTAAGAGGGAATAATTGTTCGATTTCTGACACGGCGCGCTTTCTTTTTTTTTCTTTAACTTTCCAAGTTAGAATTGAAGGCACAGAGGTAGCGTGTGCCTTAGCGACTCTACCACGTCTTGTCTGCATGCCTATGTCCTCCCACCAGACATTTTTCCATTCTGAAGATCCGAAAGGGCGTAACAAGGCAAAGCAGATAGTATGAGACAAGACGCTGGTACGATCACGTGGTACCCTCCAAATGTTCACGGGGAGATCGTAATATAATGCTGTCTCGAATTTTCCAGTCTTCACGAAACTCTAAAAGGAGAAAGGAGAGCTCTGAGTTTCTGCTTCTGTACCCTGTTAGAGCAGAGAATTTGGCTGCCGCGACACGGAACGGATCTCTCCTGACTTTTGCGAAAAGATGGAGCTTTCATAGTCGATCAATCCCTCTTCGATGCCCCACGTACTCCTCCACGATTTCGGAAGGGGGGGGGTCAGCTTGTGTACTTTTCAGTGCTTGTCCTGACTGAGCCTGTTACCCATTTATGGAGGCTGTCCTGGCTGGACAGACATGTAGGGCGGGTCACCTCTGTAAAGAAAACATGCTCAAGTAGGCCGGGCACATCATTTCACAGGATACACAAGAACTTCTGGACGATCGCCTACTCGATGGTCAGACCTCTTTGTGAATGCTCTGAGTAAGTTTTATGATGGTCATCGTGTTTCTCGAGCAGAGGAAACCCCCTGGGCAAACCAGCGCGTCGCAGGGCGAAGGGAGATGTTTCTGGTGCCCGCTGAAGCAAATCACCAAAAAACACAGGTGCTTCCGCCTGGAGTCCTCGGACCGTACCCGTCGTAAGTGACGTCACTATCCATTAAAGCACCAGTTTTCCAGTATGAGAGGGCCCCTGAGAGGATCTTCTTTGTCAT